AGAAAGAACGTGAGGGCAAGGTTAGATCCCAGACCTGCAGCAGCGCTGTGGGTGATGTCTAAAGGCACAGCCTGAGCTCCTGGCAGTGCCAATGAGCTGCTTCCTCTGCTTTGTGACCCTCCTGGAAGGACAGGGTTCTGCTCCATCATCAGTTCCCGCACTGCCACACCATCCCATTAACCTCGAGGGCTCATTCCTGCTCTGTGCATGGCTCCAGGCTGTTTGAGAGGACATTGGCACCTGGCCCCTGCAGGTCCCAGCAGCTTGGCTCTGCCTGCCTGGCTCTGGCAGCACAGCAAGTCCTGCCAGGCCAGCCCATGCACAGGACAGGATTCATCATGAGGAGCTCAAGAGGTACAAACAGAGGAGGTGACACCACACCAGGGCTGGAAGATGTTCCTCAGAGCATGAGTGACAGCAGGGACCTTCAGCCCAGAGCTCAGCAAGCCCATGGACACCCATGGACCAGCAGCCACTTATTCAAGAGCTGTTTTGCTCACCCTCGGTCAGGAGGAGCATTCCCAGCAGGTCAGGGAGGGATCCCAGCCCTGGGGCACCTCTGCAGTGCTGTGTCCAGCTCTGGATCCTCAGCACAGCAGGGACAGGAGCTCCTGGAGCTGGGCCAGCTCAGGCTGGGAGGATGAGGATGAGGAGGGCCTGGAGCATCTCGGTGCCCAGGAAAGGCTGAGGGAGCTGGGGCTGCTCAGCCTGGAGAGGAGCCCCAGCTGAGAGGGGCCCTCAGCCCTGGCTGTCCCTGTGTGCAGGGAGGGGCAGAGCAGGGCCCGGGCTCTGCTCCAGGCCCAGCAGTGGCACCAGAGCCACGGGCAGGGACGGAGCCCAGGAACTGCCCCTGCACAGGAGGCAGAACTTCTGCCCTGGGCACTGCCCAGCCCTGAACAGGCTGCCCAGGGAGGGGCTGGAGTCTCCCTCAGCGGGGATACTGCAGAGCCCTCTGGGCACAACGCTGTGCCCTGTGCTCTGGGATGGCCCTGCCTGAGCAGAGAGGTGGCACCAGGGACCTCTGGGCTCCCTTCCAGCCTGGCCCAGACTGAGATTCTGTGAAGGCAAAAATTCCCGTCAGAGTTGCTGCCAAAGGATGTGAACCATGAACAGGACATGCTGCTCTGTCCATCACCATCTTCTACCCAGCTGTTTTCCCAGTGTTTGGGTAGAAATCCACAAGCACTTTGTCACACTAGGTCACTGCATCCCCATTCCAGTTCTCAACAGGGGATTCCCCTTGTCCCAGCCAATGCCCCTATCGCTTGGGAAAACACTTGGTGATTTATGGACAACAACCAGGACAAATTCCCAGAGTTCCTCAGTCACCTCAGGGTGTCTTGGTCCAGTCACCCTGAGGGAAACAGAGCCCAAATCTAACACCATAGGATCCCAAATCTGACTGGGGGAGTGATGAGAGCTCACAGACCATGGGTTGTTTTCTTGCTCAGTACATCTGGTTAAAGGTATCTCGGAAAAAAAGCATCAACTCGACATTAAAACCTCCAGGGATGGAAAATCTCCCCTCCTGAGCTGGACCCTCATCATTGGTTGGCAACCCGTTCCTCACTGGATATGGATTAGAAAGCAGCAATGGCTGGAAGAAACACCTTTTAGCAGAGGTTTCTCATCCTGATGACAAGACAAGGATTCACATCGTCAGTGCCTGCCCCAAGAGCTTGTCTATCAAGCCAAGTCACCCCTCAATCACTCTCACAAACTCAAGGCTGTCAGAAGGTGAGGCTCCAAAACTCAAATGTGGTGCTTGGGAAGGGCACAGTCTAAATTGCACATGCTCATGTCTTTCCTTTCCCTCTCCATTTAATTTCAGGAGTAGAGGAATCAGGACAAGAAACAAAAAGCCTTTGGGAGTCCACCTGCTGTTTAACATAAACTCCTCTCTCAAAAAGTGCTTCTCAGCACAGAAAATGTAACATGAAGATCATTTCAATGATAGCAGCTCTAGAAAGGATCAAACTTGCTCCAAGTAGCAGTGGACAAAGGGGAGGGGGTTCATGTTGTTTGCTGCAGAGAGACATAGCACAAAAGCTTTTTATCTTTTCTTCCTGGGCTTCCTTTGAAAATGGATGTAGCAACTAATCCCCGACATGTTGGATGAGGCTTGTCAGATCATCCTGGGAACAATTTGTTATGAAATTCACCCTTTTACTGAGGCTCAAGAACTTAGTGCAGAAGTTCAGTTAAAAGCATGAAATCCATTATCAGCATAACTGGGCCAAGGCCAGGCTGGATGGGGTCTGGAGCAGCGTGGGCTGATGGAAGGGGTGAATTTAAGGTCCCTTCCAACCCACACCATTCTAGGATTCTGAGTTCTATAAGCACCTCACTGGGGAAAGAGGTTTGAAGCCCATCTTTGCCTAGGCCCTCCCACATTTAACAAGACCTGGGCTTTGGCTGGAGAGAAGGAGAACAGCCAAGACAAACACCCTCTCCCCTTTCTCACTTAAAACCATGTCCTTCCCTCTTCCTTTCTCCCATTTTTCAGTCTGGATTACCAAAGCAGAGGATTATTTTGCCACTGCAGCCCCAGGCAGGGAGCAGGGAGAGAGCAGGACCAGCACCTCCCAAACCCCACAAGGGTGATCACAGCAGGTACAACTCATGTTCCTATAAACCTCCTTTGCTCACTTTTATTTTTCAGTGTGCCCAGCTCAAAGCTGCCCATGACTGCTCAGCAGTGACTCAGATGAGCTGCAGTGCCAGCTCTCCTCCACCTGGGAAGGACTGAATCAGCCTGGAAGGGTTGTCAGGCACTGGGAAAAACTGGGACTTGTATTTGTTTCCAGATGAATTAACAACACCTTCCCAACACAGTGCAGCAGCATTCCACAGCCAGCCTGGAGAAGGGCCTGTATGTCCCAGGTGCTTTGGCTGTCACCACCTCCCAGAGTCACAGTCCCACAGAACAGCTCCTGCAGGGCAGCTGGGAGGGGAACAGAGAGCTGCTGCTGACCAGGAGCACCTGGAGGTTTTGGGTACCAGAATCCTGTGTTTGATCAGTGCAGGGATTGTCCCCTGTGCTGGCACTGCTGGGGCACCTCCAACCCAGAGTCAGTCCTGGGCCTCTCAGGACAATGCAGACCCTGAGGGGCTGGAGCATGTCCAGGGAAGGGACTGGAGCCCCAGGAGCAGCTGAGGGAGCTGGGAAGGGGCTCAGCCTGGAGAAAAGGAGGCTCAGGGGGGCCCTTGTGGCTCTGCACAACTCCTGACAGGAGGGGACAGCCGGGGGGTCGGGCTGTGCTCCAGGGAACAGGGGACAAAGAGAAATGACCTCAAGCTGTGCCAGGGGAGACTTAGGCTGGATATGAGGGAAAATTTCCCCATGGAAATGCTGGTCAGGCATTGGCAGGGGCTGCCCAGGGAGGGTTGGAGTCAGTCCCCACCCCTGGAGGTGTCCAAGGAAGGGCTGGGCATGGCACTCAGTGTTCTGGGCACAGCTTGGACTGGATGGGCTGGGATTAAGAGAAAACCAACAAACAGCAGCTTCCCCAAGAGTTCCTGCTGTCCCCACATGTGATGCAGCCTCGTGCAGCTGAGCAGGGCTGGCAGAGCAGGGTTTCAACTGGAACAACCAATAATTGGCTCTTGTGTTATCAGTGTTTCAAGGACCCTTCAAAGTGCAGTTGCTTGGAGGAGAAAATGCACCTGGCTAGTGGAGCTGCTTTCTCCTCTCCTCTTCACCTTGACCAGGGTATTTTTAGCTGTATGGACAGACTTGCCAATACTTTCACCTTCAATTGTTTGCAAGGAAACTTCTCCCAGTAATGAACACTCAGGGTCAAGAGAGGCAGCAGGAAAGAAATGATGGGCAAAAGTAACTTCCCAAAAGGCTTTTTCAGTATTTTGTGCCTTCAGTATTTTAGCTCCACTTCTTCCCACAGATTTCCCTGTTCACAGAGAATTTAGTTTGCACTTGATTTCAATACCCTCAGAGTTTGGCCTGAGGTTTTGTACAGGAGAGCTGCACCTCCATACACAAAGCACCTGACCATGCTGCCCACGTTCCTTTGCAGCAGAAAGTGCCACTCAATTCCTCTGAGTCTCACAGATCCACTAATCTAAGTTCCTTTGGCAGAGAATGGTCCAACACCATCATCTGAAAAGGCTGGAAAGCTCATTATTCCTACAAAAACTCATTATTCCAAAGCAACAGTCTCTCTTGGCTGTTCACCCCAACAGGTAACATGTCAATGGCTGCCAGATCAGTAAACACAGCCCTGGCTCCCACCAGAGCCAGGAGCAGGAACAAGAGAGGCAGACATGCTTGTGAGGCACTGTTCTTACCCACTCGTGTGCTGCTGGGCCCAGGAGTGCTTCATTACTGACTCCAAAGCTCACCTGTCAGAGCCTGAGCTGACACCACCCCAGGGCCCCAGGCACTGCTCAGCTGAGTCCAACACACACAGGGCAAAGCCCCCTTGCTGCTGTGCTCAGATCCCCTGGGCTGGGCCAAGCTTCCAGAAAAAAGCAGATTTCTCTGGGGCAGGAGGGTGACAGAGCTACCAAACCCCAGCACACACATTTTAATGTCCTTCATGTGCTGCCATTTCCAGGGAGCCTCTGAGAACCAGGGCAAAGGAACACAGGGGATTTACAACTCTTCCCTTAATTTCCAGCTTTCCTTCAGCAACCTGTTTTTAGTGTAACCCCTCTGTTAGGAAATCTATTATTCGATAATCTCTTCATCCCTCACAGCACCTTTTATTCACAGCATTTACTGCCCCATTTGACACACACATTCTGGTCTGGAAAACCACTCAAACCTGCTGCACTTCACACACCTGAATGCCCCAACCATGGAAATATACTCCCAACACACCCAGAACCCACTCCATGGTCCATCTTAGAGCCTCTCAAGTCTTCTACTTCTGCAGAAAGTAGAAGCAGGTTAAGGTGAGAAGGAAGAAAAAAGGGTGGTGAGTCAGCAAAGTGTAGAAGGAAGGAAAAAGGCATTTAGAAGTCCATTCTTAAGTGGGTACCTTTTCAGCTAAGGCCTTTAAGCTGTCTAGAAACCTCTGCCAGAAGTCCTTGAAGAGGGGTCTGTCAATCCTCCTCAGGCTCTCCTTGGTGCTGGCATCCACACTGACGTAGAGCTGGGTCACAGGCTCCAGCCTCCTGTGAAGGGAAAAGGGAATTGCTGCTTTCACAAATCTGCAGCTTGAGTTTGTGCTCTCCTACAAAAGCAGGAACAGGAATTGGACAGGATTTCCAGGGAATGTTCATCTTTGTCGATGATCCTGGAGGGATTTTCCAACCTCAGGGATTCTGTGACTCTAAATTCAGCCAGTTCCTACTGCTGGACATGCTGAGGTCCCCTGACCTGCAGCAGGATCATCAAGGACATTTTTGAAGGGATAGCAAAGGTGTTTAGAAAATAAACCCACACACAAACTACAAGCATGTTCTCCTTCCACAGAAATCCTGGAGCAGAGCCTTTCTGGTCACACGTGCTGGTCCCAGCACTGGGATCTCCTGGAGGGACTAAACCTCCTTTGCTGTGGGAAGAGCCTGGCTGGAGGCTGATCCCTTCCATAAATGCCAGGGGAATAAGGGAGAAGCAGCAACACCAGAGTCCATCAGCAAAAAGATCAAAGGGATTAAGAACAGCCTAGAAAGAAGCTTCCTCAGAATCCCAGGAGGTTGGAAAAGCCCTTCAATGTCACCAAGCCCAGCTTGTGTCTGATCCCCACCTTGCCACCAGCCCAAGGCAGTGAGTGCCACCTCCAGGGGTGGGGACACTCCTCAGGATGGAGACAGAGCCTTTCCCCTGACAGAGTGACAAAGGCAGTGAGTGTAACACACCCACCCCTCGTGGCAGCTCCCACCCCGGAGGCTGCAGCATCAACAACCACGTCCCAGTGTACCACAGAGCTCCCAGCATCTGGGGACAGCATTTTGGGAGTGTTTTGTGTGAAGTCTGTAATGAGCAGGCACCAATCCCAGCTTCATTTAGTTCTCTAGAGAGGATAAAAAGAAATTAGAAGCTATTGTTCAGCTGCCAAACAGTGCCACCTAAAAATACAATGTCACCCAAAGGTGACAGGGACAAGAACTGGCCAGAGTGAGACTGACCAGAGCGCTTTGTGTCCAGAAAAATCCACTTACCATGGATACTCAGTCAACCATTGGAACACATTCTCTGAGTGTGTATTTAGACAGCAAAACGAAATAACCCAGGACAAACTGAACATTTCAGGTTAAAATCTGTTTTGTAAACAAGTTTGTCTGGACTGGCAACCCAAAGCCACAGAGTCCAAAATGACCAAATGTTCTGGGCCTAAGTAAAGTGCTCAGTTTCCAAGAATACTGAGGCAAACTCTTTCTTTACTCACTGCTGTCTTGGCTTAATTAAAAGGGGCCCTAGTGAAGATGGAGCAGGTGCTTTTCAAAAGAGGGGCTGAGAAAAATCATCTCTTCTCAAACCCAGGGACAGGCAGGAGACAGACGCACAGTCAGCATGGGGGAAATGAAGGAATTAGAAGGGATCCAAGGGAGGGATTTCAGCCCCAAACAGGAATGGCCCACAGGGCTCTGCATGGCTGGGATCCAAGCCCAGGTGAGCTGGGCACATTCTGCCAAGGGGGAACAAAGAGAGAGGGCAGCCAGGGGTGCAGTGAGAACAAGAACAGAGACTGGTGTTCCTGGGACAGCTCCAGTGCAGAATAATAGCAATTCTAGCTGTGTGGGACCAGGATGGATTTGCTAGCTCAGATACATGAAGTGAAATCCAGGAGACCAAATCCATGGCGTTTACACATGGACATGGGCAGGAATCCTGAGCTGAAGTATTCAGCTGAGCTGTGCCATCAAATAAATCCACTTCAGGCCTCCAGCCCTGAGGTGGCTCCACCAGGCAGGCAGGACAGAGCCCACAAGGACCAGGAACAGCAACACCAAAAATTAGCATTTGCTAGTGAGCATTAATAATAATTTGCCCATTATTGGCATTATTATTGATCATAAAGGCAAACCCACACACAAGGGGTGTTCACAGCCAGGGGTCAGAAACAGGAGCCAGGTACAGGTTCAGCAGGAGCTCACCTGGTATAAAACCTCCCTCAGTTTATTGTGAGTCTGTGGCAGGTGGAGCTGCAGCCTGAGGAGAGGAGGAGGAGGAGAAGGCCCAGGGGGCACCCACTGGAGCCCCTGTCGTGAATCCAGCAACACCCCAGGCCACACTGCCCTCTCCCAGAAGGGGTTGGAAGGGACCTTAAAGCCCATCCTGCCATGCCAGGGACACCTTCCACTGTCCCAGGCTGCTCCAAGCCCCATCCAGCCTGGCCTTGGGCACTGCCAGGGATCCACGGGCAGCCACAGCTGCTCTGGGCACCCTGTGCCAGGATCTGCCTACCCTCCCAGGGAACAATTCGTCCCCAGTATCCCAACTATCCCTGTCCTCTGGCAGTGGGAAGCCATTCCCTGTGTCCTGTCCCTCTAGCCCTTGTCCCAAGTCCCTCTCAGCTCTCTTGCACCAGAGGTCACCCTGCCTATTGCAGGATGAACTTTTTGACTACAGCTCCTCTGCTGACAGCACAGAACTGAGCTGGGTGCCTACTTCAGTTCCCATATTAAGCAAATCATCTGCTTTGATGAGCCAAAGATCAGTTGCAATTTTTAAGACAGCAAGACCAGCATTTTATCCCCTTCTTTTTTTGTTTCTTTTTAAAAGATTCAGCAGATCCGAAAAGTGCAGCTTCAAAATAGAGTATGTGCTCTCTTTTTAAACTGCTATATTTAGGAAGGAGCAATTTCTATCTACCAGGCTCATAATACATGACTTAAAGTAACTTGATTACACAATTATTCAATCATTTGGAATGCCTTTGTAGTGTATAATTACTCACTTCCAAACTGCCTGCACTCCCCCCTCAGAGCCAGATTCAGACCACGAGATGTGCAAAGGAAGCTGTCCCAGGAGCACAGAGGAGGAGCTGGAATGAGCTGGGTGAAACCAAGGCCACCCTGCCCACAGCTCTCACAGCTCCAGGGCTGGATTTGCTGCTGTTCTCAACTGCTGGGATGTTGAGCAGGCCCAGCCTCCCTGGAGCTGCATTTCCCCATGTGCTGCACTTCCTTTCTACACTTCGGTAACAGCAGCCTGGATGCTCCAAAACATCAGAAAAAGGGATTATTTTCCTTTGTAAAGGCTCCAAAAGAGTTCATTGAAGTGTTTGGAAGGTTTCATTCAAGTCCCTCTGAGGGAGGTAAAGCAGATCCCACTTTGCTGATGAACATGTGCTTGTCACCCCTCCTGATCCTGCTGGGGATGCTGGGCTGGACAGAGCTGTGGGTTGAGTCTTTACAGCTGCTGCTCTGGGGTCAGACAAAGATCAGCCTCAAAAGCAATCTCTGAGCTCAGTCCCTACTCTGGCTGACAGAAGGACAGAAATTATTCCTGCCCCAGGCACAAACCACAGCTCACTCACTGCTCCCCTCCTGCCACTCCTTCACAGGTGTCACATTCCAGTCTCTCCACTTCCAGCAGCAATCACAGCTTGTTTAGGAGGTACAGAAAAAATCAGACTGAGGGAGAGAAAGGGCTGAGAAGGAGCATGAGGAGACAGGTTAAAATCAGAAGCTGAGGGGCATTTGCATTGCCAGTGCTTGTGCAGAGCTGACCCTGAGGGGCACTAAATGGGACCAGGACACAGGTCAGCACTCCAGTGTTTCAGGAGGAAGTTCAGGAGGAATTTCCTGTAGCTCTTACCTGATCTCCTCAGGGAACTGGGCGTTGGTGACCAGGAAGGTGGAGATGCCGTGCTGGTGCAGGAGCCTCACAAAGTGGTTGATGTGTGGGTACATGATGGGCTCCCCCACCAGGGACAGGGCACAGTGCTTCACTGCCAGAGCTTCCTCCAGCCGAGCTGCCTTCACTCCTGACACGCCTGGAAAGGGGAGAACACTCTTACATGAACAGTGCATGAGCCCTTGGGCAATCTGCTCTGGGGGAAGGCGGCCCTGCCCATGGCAGGGGTTTGAACAAGATGATTTTTAAGGTCCCTTCCAACCCAAACCCTTCTGTGGTTCTGTAACAATTCCCCCTCCTAAACATCTCTATCCAAAACACACCCTGGCACAGGAGGGCTGAGAAGAGCAGCTGGAGCCCTCCCAAAGCAGAGGGGACATCAGACTAGAGCCAGGGCCCAGGGAGCAGCTCTGAAGCACCCAGAGAGCAGCACCCAGAGCCTGGGGCTGGGTGTGCCCTGGGCACTGCTGAGAGCAATGTGCTGGTAACAACTGAGCCAAGATTAAACACTCAAGCCAAGCTCTCCACTGCTGAGACCTTGGGATGCTGCTGAGTGCTGAGACACAAACACACAGGGCAGCTCAATGCCACTCCAAGCAGGTGTGTTAAGAAAGCAGCCCAGGTCATGGCTGTGCTGCTGCTGGTCCCCGTGGGCCTCCAGGAAGGGCAGCTGAGCACAGCTCCCCAAACACTGCAAGGGACTGAACCCTGACTGGAAACACAGAACGTGCAGCTCCACAGAGGATGTGATCAAAAGAAAACCCAGCACACAGCACAGTCCTGAACAGCCAGAGACCTTTCAGAAGGAAAACACAAGGAGCTCAAATGTAGCATCCATGTGAAAACACCATCTGAGTCTCACTCCTGATGCCCACGGGAGGGAGGGGGAGCTGGATGCTCCTCCAGCCCACCCACACCTGACCAGGTGCTCAGGACCCCGGATGAAATCAGCTGCCTCCAAACAAGCTTTTGTTCCAAATCTGTCACTTCACATTTCCCTGACGTGCCTTGATGTACTCAAATCCTATCTGAGGCTTTAGATTGGGGGTTGGTCTGTTTTAAAGATAAAAAACAAAGTCTGGAGTGTGAATCCAGGTCCTCAGCTCCCTTCTCCTTGCCTTGATGCTGCAGTACAGAAAATTACAGCTCTGCTGCAAAGCCCAGATAAAAGAGGTGTTTGTGGATATTGCTCCAGCCTCACGTAGCAAAGCTGGTTTGGAATCAGAGCAGGGCTCAGTGCATTTTCAAGCAGCCAGGCTCAGTCCTGAGGAAGTGACAGGACTAATGGTTATTCCATAGAAACCTGACAGCACTAAATGAGAGCTTTATTGGAGAAGAAAGCAGCATCTCCAGCACACGCTGAGATTAAAGGACAAAGTTTCATATTCATAAAACTACTGTAAGTCAGTTTTGGAATTAATTAATTTCTCTCTCTCAACATTTTGCATTTGGACTCTCATAATTACCCTTCCAGCTTTATAAGCAGAAGAACAAAATCCCAACATCCCCTAAAGTTTGAGTGGAACTTTCCCAAAAGAGTTTACACTAAACCTGGTACATCCATCCAGAGCAGGGAGTGGGTTTGTACACAACCACCTGAGCACACAAATCACCAGCCAGGCAGGATAAACTGCCCAGGACTGGTGTATTCCAGGAGGGCAGGGACTCTCCTGAATCCCCATGGCTCTGTTCCTGCCATCAGCTCCCAGCAGAGCACATCTCCCTGGAAAAGCTGATTCCAGCTGCTCCACTAACCTGGAAAAAGACAACAGCCCCTGGCACAGCACCCTGGGGAGGCTGGGGGCTGACTCTGGTACCCCTGTAAGGACCTGAGCAGCACCACAGCAGCCTGGGGGCCAGGGGGATGAGGGACCTGCTGTATCCATGCTGATCCATGTACTGGGTACTCTGTACCATGGGTAGTCTGAGGATTTCCTGGGACAAGTCATGCATTTATCTTTGGCTTTTTTCCCTTTATTATCAGACTCCCACTCTCCCATTCCTGAGTTATGTTTCCATCCTGTGTGTGCCCTTTGCAAGGGCACAGAGATTTACAAGTCACTCCCCAGAAAAATGTATCCATCAAATAAACTTTGCAGCCTCGCTCCCTATCAGTGAGGTGTCTCTCCGTCATTTAATCCAAGAGAGAATTATGGAGCTTTAATGGCTGTGCTCTCCAAACCCAGCACAAACTGTGGCAACACTAAAGCAAAAGATGATTTATCATCACCCATAGACACCCAGAGTATGAGGGCTCTCCTGTAGGGTATCCTAAAGGATAAAGTGACACAAGAATTCTGTTCCTTCAAAGGAAATCTCATTTTTACTGCAATGGGTTGAATGAATAAAGGATCAGATGAGCTCACCAGTTTCTCTGGCCCATGGAATGGGTGTGTGGATGGATCTGCCTGCAAAGCTGTGGGACTGGGACTGGAAAGAGCAGCACCAACTTATTCAAATGGCTCAGGGAGGAACCTGAGCAGCACCCCCAGACACTGCAGTCCTGAGGACTCCCTAGCTAAGACACTTCCCATGTGTTGATTCCCCAGAAGCCCAAACAGTCTATATCAGGGGCCAGGGTCCAACACCTCAGCCCTGCTGGGACACCTCTGGAGTCCCTATGTGTGCCCAGCCAGTGCTGCAGGACCAGACACATTAATGCTGAGAAATGGAGATGGAATCCAACCATTCCCCCAGCACTGCAAGGTCACCATTAACCCATGTCTCCAAGTGCCACATTCCACACAGTTTATAAACCTCTCCAGGGCTGGGGACTCCACCTCCCTGGCAGCTGTGCCAGGGCTGGACAACAAATTCCAGGAAGGAATTTTCCCAATATCCACCCCGATCCTCCCCTGGCCCAGCCCGAGGCCGTTCCCTCTCCTCCTGTCCCTGTTCCCTGGGAGCACAGCCCGACCCCCTGGCTGTCCCCTCCTGTCAGGAGTTGTGCAGAGCCACAAGGGCCCCCCTGAGCCTCCTTTTCTCCAGGCTGAGCCCCTTCCCAGCTCCCTCAGCTGCTCCTGGGGCTCCAGCCCCATCCCAGCTCCCTTCCCCTCCCTGGACACGCTCCAGCCCCTTGCTGTCTTTCTTGGAGGAGCCCAGGACTGGAGGTGCCCCAGCAGTGCCAGCACAGAGGACAGAGCCCAGCCACAACCCCTCCTCCCCTTCCCACAGCAACCTGGGCCACCTCACTGCTCCAGCAGGTGCTTCCTGTGCTTTTGCTGGGGTTTTTCTCAAACATCAATCCCAAAAAAGGCCCCTGGTGTCTGTGCAGAGCTGCTGGGCTGGCTGGAGGAGCCAGGCCCGTTCCTCCAGCCCTGGCACTGCACACGGGGACTCTGATCCTGCCAGAGCTGAACCTTTGCCCGTCCCCAGCTCAGTTCACTCACTCTGCTCCTACTCAGTCTGGCTCTTGCTGCTTCCTCTCTAACAGCACCTCCCCACACACATGAGGGAAGAACACTGTAAAATTCACTACATGGAACAGGAGCTCCTGGGTTTTTCTTACCGATTTTTCTTCTCCTTAATAAACCTTTGACTCACAGCAGCTAGGACAGGAATGTTGCCATCTAGCACTAGAAAAATAAACCAGCTTTTCTTTTCCCACTTTACAGCACAGTTCTAGTCCAGAGCTTTTCTGTTTTCTCCTTTCACAGTTCCAGGTCAAGGGTAACTGTGCTCATATGCACAGGCACATTTCGAATAATATTTATGAATTTGTTTAACACAAAATAGACTCCAAAAAGAGAGAACTGGGATGTCCTGACAGGCCCTCTGACACTTCAGCAGTATTTCAGATGCTGAAAGTCTATTCATAATCATTCCCTCTCCTCAACCCATTTTGGGAAGACAGCAGGGTCAGTGAATGAGAAGGTTATTCCTCAGTGCAGGGTGATAATGGCTCTTCTCCAGAGACCTGAAAGCCTTCAGGGCTGGAGGGTCCCCACCTCTCCAGGCCCAACTCTGGCTGAACAAGCTCATTTTGATGTGTAACTTCACCCTCCCAAACAGAAACCAAATCTGTTGTCCCTTGTTCTGGGGACAGAACAACAGGTGGGGCTCCAGCATGGGCAGATCTGATCTCCTTCAGAACCTCCCAGTGCTCAGAGCCACACAATAACTGGACTGGAAAAACCTCCAGGACCATCGAGTCCAAACACTCCCCCAGCACTGCCAAGGCCACCACTGAACAGTGTCCCCATGTGCCACATCCACATGAATTTTGAACAATTCCAGGGATGGGGACTCCACACCTGCCCTGCAGGGCCTGTGACAGGGCCTGGCCTCTCTTTTCACTGAAGAAATTTCCCTAAAATCCACCCTGAGCCTCCCCTGGCCCAGCCTGAGGCCGTTCCCTCTCCTCCTGTCCCTGTTCCCTGGAGCACAGCCCGACCCCCCGGCTGTCCCCTCCTGTCAGGAGTTGTGCAGAGCCACAAGGGCCCCCTGAGCCTCCTTTTCTCCAGGCTGAGCCCCTTCCCAGCTCCCTCAGCTGCTCCTGGGGCTCCAGACCCTTCCATGCATCCATTGGCTCAACCATGGTGTTTCTCCTGGTGCCCCTGGGGTAAAGCCCTGCCCTGAGTGTGCCTCTCACCCTCCCCAAATTTCCCTGCAGAGCTCCTGAGGGGTTTCAGTACCACCATGCCCTGGGGCAGGGGATGTTTGACACAGTGCCAATGAAACCCCAGGCTCAGGAGTGAGGCTTCATTGAGCTGCTGCTCCAAACCAGCCACATGAGGAGAATGAAGCCCATGGGGCCCTAACCAGAGCTATTTTTCCACCCATTATCCAACTGCAGATATTGAGGCAGAGCAGCTTAGCTCTGCTGACAGAAGGGCTTTGTGCCTGTCACATCCTGGATCCATTGGATTCTCTTTGAGCACAGCCAACCTAAACAATCGGGTTCCCAAAATGACAGCCAAGGCCAGGGCTCATCCTGCACGTTTTATGGCTGTTCCACTCCATTTGTGCTGCTCGAGGCAGCTGGGGAGAGCAGAACCTGGAGCTGTCCTGTTAAGCTGGCCAGCCCTGCCAGCACACACAGCTGACCTTGGCACAGCAACCAGATCATCACATTTGGGAAATAAAACCCCCAGCCCTCTCTACAGTTATAGACACAGAATATCAAACTTCCAGGGAATTTCTGTGGGAAGCAAACTGCAGTGCTTTCCAAAGGTGCTGTGGAACTGCAGCTTCAGTCACAACCACCGGTACTAAATAATTGCTGAAAATCAAAATCCTCTGCTTGCTGCTGTTTCCTTATTCATGAGACAAACACAACCCAGAAGCTCCAGGGTAACACAATGCTGGGTATTAAGGCTGGCAGTGTATTTCCTGTCAGGTAAGAGGCTGATTGCTTTTGCTTCCTACCTGCCCTCACCCCTCCAGAAGAGCCAGGACCCCCCCATCATCCAGGCTGGCTTTAACCAGTGTGGAAGGCTCTGTGCACACAAGGGAAAGGATTTGGCAACTACCAGGTTGCACCAGAGGCAACTCTACTCCCTCCAGGCAACAGCACATACTCAGTGGCTGAACCTCATTTCAGAAGACATTAAATGTGCCACAGCAGTATCTTCTCCCCCATCCTCCTGATTCCCTGAACCTCAGGCCTCCTTCCCAGAGGTGCAGAACATTCTCACCTGCTCTGAAGATGTCACTGCTGGTTATCCTCTAACAGCACCAGGGGTGGGGACAAAGGAGAAGTTACCTTTGAACTGCCTGATCATGTTCTGGTGCTTCTCGAGGGCCTCCTGCAGGATCACTTCAGGCTGGTCCATCTTCCACCGCCACTCGGTGCCCACAGGGTTCGTGTGGTGTCTGAGGGAAGAGAGGACAGTCACCCACTGCCAGCTGGAACCCACCTGGAGAACTCACCTGCCACCTGGGACTTTGGCATCAACAGCGTTCAAAGCAACAAAAGATCCTCAGCAACTCCTGCTGCTGCCCCAACCTTTGGATGCCACCTCTGAACATCTCTCTTACACCCCTCTCCTTCCAGGCTCTGGTCTCCCAGAGGGAGGAATGGGCCTTGTGGATAATATTACACTTTATACAAATATTTTGAAGCACAGGTGAAAGGTTTCTAAGCCAATATAACGTCTGCAAAAACGTCTGTAAAGAAAGGGAAACTGGCTCTGCCTCCTGTTCTGCCCACAGCTGCACCAAGCTCTGGAGAAGGGAGGTCCCAGGCCATTTTTAGTTCCATTTCCAGGTACCAAGCACCACCCTGAGGACAGGATTTCTACCTGAGGACAGGTTGCTACCCCAATCTTTGTGTGGTGCTCTGGTACCAGGACAGATGAGGGCAGGCTCCTCCAAACCCCCTGAAGAGGGCAGGAAGCCTGCCCTATACCCAGGATGCATTCCTGGGGGATCTGGGTCATCTCCCAGATTTTTATCCCCCTGACCCAAGCAGATTGCAGGGGAAAAATTCCAGATCTTCCATCTGAGAAACACTAGGGTGGGAATCAAACCTTGCCTGGAAAGGATCGCTGTCCCCATATTTTGTTTTCTTGGAACACAGCAAAAGCCAACCCAGGTAAATCAACCCGAGCATCTGCAAGACCCATAGAGTTCGTCCTCATTTCTTACTTTATTAGCAGGAGAGGATCATCCAGCCCCTAAATATCATCTAAGGAAGCCAATGAAATTCTGTGTTTTCACATCTGTGTTCTCTCTCCATCTTTTCCTCCTTCATCCCAAAATATGCTCCAAAAGTCCCCTCAGTTTTTCTCTACCACTCCCCTGGCAGCCCACAGAGCTCGTTAAGAGCAGCACATTGTGCAGGGTCTTTCACAAAAGCTCCTGGATTAACTCACCTCTGGACAGGAAAACAAGGCCAACCAAAACACTCCTGACACTCTGTTTCCAGCCAGGTGACCTCTGCTTCCTGCAACCTCTCCACCATCCCTGGATGTTGGATTATGCCTTGTTCTGACCCAGAGATGGGGCTACTGAGAGGTGTTTTAAAAACTTTTATTCCATTCTTAGTCTCATGAGAAGGGTGGGACAATACAGATGTTATAATCCATACCATCACAATCAGAAGCCAACTATTTCCTAATCACAATACAGTGTAAGTGTTCCTTGGCCTATCAGCTTTAGCCACACCATGCTGTAAATGCCTTAAAGCCAATCACCTAAAATTACATCTTGTGGGTCCCACTACAATCATCTTTCATAGTTCTATTCCTCCAAAGTATCCAACCTTATTTGCAAGGCCATCTTTTGAAACTTGTTTCTAGTTCCATTTGTCTCTCAACAATATCTGTCCTACTCCATGGCATTTCCAAGTCAGCATTTCTTATTCCAAAGTTTACATACAGATGCACACTGTGTGAACCTTCTATCAAGCTTTGAGAATTCTCTACAAATCCATTTCCCACATTTCCCCCTCTCTCTCGAATGGAAAAAACTTTTTTGATGGCTTTGTTCATAATTTGTCATGTACAGTAAAGTACATAAGGCACTATTACTAACATTGTCACTATCACAATTAATGCATATAAACTGTCCAGCCCTGGGGACACCTGGGAGGTTACAGCTGCATTCAGCCTTCCAGCTCCAGGGCATCAGGACAGGATTCCCAGCCTTTAACTGAGGGAGAAGGGACAGGGGAGCACCTTCTCAGGATGAGGGGGCTGGTCCAGTCCTCACTGGAGACAAGCAAAAGGCTCCCAATGACCTCTGGACAGGGGGGAAGGGGTTCAAACCAAAAGAGAGTAGGTTTGGGTTGGACATCAGGAAAAAAAATTCCTCTCTGGCAGGGTGGGCAGGCCCTGGCACAGGGTGCCCAGAGCAGCTGTGGCTGCCCCTGGATCCCTGGCAGTGCCCAAGGCCAGGCTGGACATTGGGGAGTGGAGCAGCCTGGGACAGTGGGACGTGTCCCTGCCATGGCAGGGGTGGAATGGGATGGGATTTAAGTTCCCTTCCAACCCAAACTAGTATGGGATTCTGGGATTCTCCAAGTGAGAAACACCTGCAGCTGCATTGTCTGATAGTGCTAAAACACAAACCCAGGCTCAATAAAATCAGGCTTTTGGCCCAAACATTTCTTCATCCAGACTTCAAGAGCAAAGATTCCAACACTGTTCTCAAACTTCACCACCTCAAGGATCCTTTAAGCCAAAACAGCTTTTTGAATTTCACTTTTATTTCCCCATCTGGCAACATGGAAAGTTTTCTGAATGTCAGCTATAAAAGGCATTTATAAAACTCTTCCATGTTTAACTGCAAAACTTGTACCTTGTATATTTAATAGGGCCAGCTGGCAGGAAATCAATAGGCTCTGGGTGCACCCTGGACAGCTATTAGTGTCCAACAGGCCCTGCATTCTTAACACATCCTACTGTTTAATAAACACACCAGGTCAGGTCTCCAGAGCTGCTTATTTGGCAAAAGGAGGTTCCCTGACAAGAGGAGGATAAAGCAGCAATGCCTTGGGCTCAGGAGGTTGTTTCCCAGTCCCAGCACAGACAGAACACCAGAGCCACCTGCCCATTGCCCCCAGGCTCTGTGACCTCCCACCACCCACCTCTGGCTACACCGGCACTGAGCAGGAATTTGTGTCAGGGATTCCCTTCCTTCCTTCCCAAAGTAACACAAGTAAAATGAAATCTCCCCAAACCCACACACAGCAAAGCCTTGATTTTAGCAGAGATTCCAGGTGTGAAACAGGTTTGGTGTGCTCCTTCAGAGACACCTCAGTGCCACAGCCCCACTGTGGCAGGGAACACAATGCCCTGGAATCCCCCCAGCCACCCAGGCTGCTCCCATCCAGCTTCCCTGCAGTCTCAGCTCACCTCTGAGCCACCAGGAGCCTAGGACAGCATTCCCAGTGTCCCTGGCAGGTTCTGGGACCCCTGTGAAGGTGCAGCTTCCCCAGGGCTGTGATCTGCCTCCCCAGTCACTTGGGGGCTATTTTAATAAATCAGCTTTTGCTTTATACATTCTGCAAATGGCTGTTAAGAGGTTCTGAGGGCAGATGCAGCTCAGGTATAAAATATCGTTTACTGCAGGCATTGACTGAGCCAGGGTGATACCTGGTGGGGAACAGGAAGGTAAGGAAGTGCTGGTGGCAGTGACATGAGAGGACAGGGCACACCATTCCCAGGGAGGGCAGGAGCAGAATAAAAATAAGAGTTCAAGAAGCAGTCTCAGTGAACCCTGAGAGCCAGCAGGGAGATCCCAGAGGAGAGGAGCTTAAGGGAAAAGAACTTCAGGAGAACTGGTAGTTTTGGAAGACCTATTAAGGCAGAAGTGCAAACTGCAGCAATAAAAGGCAAAGACAAAACAACAAAATCAATCTGCTCTTCTGCAGCCTCGTGAGCCTCCAGCTGCAAACAAAAGAAGGAGCACAAAAACACAGGGGCACCAGCAGAAAGGGGAAGGCAAACCATCAGCCATGACTAGGAAGGGACACAAAAAAGACATCCCAAGGACTTTCTCTGGAATAATGGAAGGAGAAAGAGGGAAACCACAAAAAAAGCTTGGGCAATGCACAAGCCAACCATGTTTAATGTTCCTGCTGTACAAAATGAAACCTGGCTGCTCCTTTTCTTCTGCACCTCCTGAGAGCAACAGGAGGAGCCCAGCCTGCGCTGGGCAGAGACCACAACTGAGACACGGAACCTGAATTTAATGTTTTCCCTAGGATGGGTGAAATCACCCTGGAGCAGGCTGGATAAATTGGCTGACAGGACCAGAGGGTGCCAGGGGTGGCTTAGACTGGATATTAAGGGAAATTTCTTCATGGAAAGGGTTGTAACAGGGCAGTGGTGGAGAGGATTAAAAGCCCCACGGATGCAGCATTTGAGGACAGGGTCTGGTAGCCTTGGCAGTGCTGGGGGAACAACTGGACTCAAGGATCTTAGAGGGCTTTTCCACCCAAAAGAATTCTGTGATTCTCTTCCAACTGAAACCTTAAAGATGGAAGATGCCCCATGCTGAAAAGCTCCATCCTAACTCTGAGATGCTCCCTTTTTAAAGAGCAAAACCTCTGGAAAGGCAGGTGATGCTCAGGCCTGTACTTGTGTCTACCCATCCCACCCCATCCCTGAACCCTGCTCAGCACAGCTTCCCAGACCATTCCAAAACTCACCTGGATGGCAAAATGTCAAAATGTGCAAATTCACTTTCAAAGCCCCCAGTCACTGCCCCTCATCAGTGATTGCTGGACGTGGCACCATCCCCTGCAGGGACACCCAAGGCCCAATGTGGACATTTCACAGCCCATAATCTGTTTATATTCCTTACTGAGGCCATACATTTGGGAGCCGATTGTAACAAGTCCCAGGACCTTCAAGAACTCCAAGTCCAGGAGAACACAAAGTACTATTTTTCATAAAATTAAAATCGAGAGATTTCAACTCACACATGAACATTTTCTCCTAGAAATGCCTCAGATGACAGAGCTGGCAGAGCAGCACATGAAGGCACCAAGATTTTTTTTTTTTTTACCAGGGGCATGAACTGGGCACATTGATTTGCTTTCCCTCACCCCATTTATTTGGTCAATTCAGGAGCTCCTGGCAGACAGACAAGTCCAAAACTCAACAAACCAGTGAAGAATCCAATGTGAGAGATGAACCTTGGTCACAACAGATTCTTTCTGGAAACAAAACCACAACCAAACTGAAACCCTGGGAGAAAAGAGCAGCTGCTGGGCAGAACCAGGACTGGGGGCTGGACATGCACAGAAGCTCTCTGAGCTTTCAGGCTCAGCTTCCAGGTGTTCCAAACCTGCAGTGTCCACTCCTTTGATATCAATACTCCCCATTTCCCTGAGGAATTTACCCTCTGGAATCAAGTTAGTTACTGAGGAGAAGCTTTTGTTTTCATCTGTTTTTGTTTTCTTCTTAATTTTTTAAAGACCTCAAGTACTTCTCCTATGAGAGATTATTAATTTTTAATCTCTGTATTTTGCAGGGCTTACTGTGTTACCTGGCTTTTGGCCACCCACTGATTTAGTGTCTGAACACAACTTCAGTTGCTGTCTAGAGGCAAAACCTCAAACCTCCATGCACAGGTATAAGCATTAAAGTTACAGCAGAAGAAATACGAGCCAATTTCTTCACAGGGTATTTCACTCTGTCTGGTTTGCCTCCTCCTCAGATGCAAAAGTAATAAACCCTATTAATTTAAATCTTATTTAGCTGTTCCATCTCTCCACAATAATTGATTGAGCTTTGGACACTGAGCCAAAAATCCTCATCAAATCAGGTCTGCCTGGTGCCTGTGCTGCAGGGAGGTGTCACAGAGCTCCGAACCCACACTTGCTCTAATTGATTAAAAGATTTGGTCACTTGCACATTTCCATTTAGGCAATTAAGCTAAAGAGACACAGCCTCAGTGAGAGCAGCTGGGAGCAGGGATGGAGAGGGACAGACTCCCTTGGAGGACAGGATTATGACTGGCAATGTTGCAGTAATTCAGGTGTGGGGTGTCCCACTCAGTGCTTTTGACAGAACAGCCTTGGGGGACACCAAACAATCCACCCTGGAGAATCATGGAATATCCTGAGCTGGAAGGACCCATAGGGATCATCCAGTCCAGGCCCTGGCCCTGCACAGACACCCCAACAATCCACCCTGGCCATCCCTGGAGCTCCTGGAGCTCTGGCAGCCTCGGGGCCATGCCCATTCCCTGGGGAGCCTGGGCAGTGCTTTGAAACCTTAAAGATGGAAGATGCCCCATGCTGAAAAGCTCCATCCTAACTCTGAGATGCTCCCTTTCTAAAGAGCAAAACCTCTGGAAAGGCAGGTGATGCTCAATCCTTTCCCTGAGATGCTCTCACCTTTCCCTGAGATCCAGGCTGAGCCTGCCCTGGCCCAGCTTCCAGTCTGCTTTTCCTGTCCCCACAAAAAGCTGCCCCGTAACCCTGCACTGCCAGCCTCTGAAGGGGGCAGGCAGGGAAGCATGAGCCAGTCAGGGAGCCCTGGCAGCTGTGACAGCTCCCAGGGACAAGGGGGACAAGAAGAGCCTCCAGTGCAGAGTGAAGCCACATCTCTGACAAAATCCCCTCATTTTCTGAGGATGTTTGGATACTGGCTCCAGCCATGAGCTCCAGTGGAGGTGTCCTGCCCACAGCAGCTGGAACTGAAGCCCTTTAAGGCCCCAACCCAACCCAGTCTGTGATTCCATGATTACTGGTTTGGGGCCAAAATCTGTCAGTCAGAACCAGCCAGTTCCAGTGATACCCAGCTCCCAGGGAAAGCAGCTGCACTGCAGCATTCTTGCCAAAGTGAGGAAGAGAAAATAAACAGGCTCCTTGGCCTTTCCTTCAGCCATCCAGGGACAGCTCAGTGCTTGTGCAATTGGAAACATTGGCAGAATCTACAAATGTCAAAATCCTCAAAGAAAAGATCAAGAAGAAAGAATTCAGCAGCCTTATCTGCAAGGCAGCAAGCAGAGCTGCACGAGGAGCCCAGCACAAAACCTGCATGAGGAACATTCTGCCAGAAGCAGATCAAAACTGGGATTTCACATGTCTGCACCAGCACAGATGGCACCTACTGCTCAGGAGCTGCCTTGTTTATCCTGCCCAGCCATCAGGGCCTGCAGTTCCACTTCAGTCTCACACACTGAGCAACCTGCAAGGTGTGGGGGATAAAACAAGTGCACAGATAGGCCTGACTGCAGGGTTTGGGAGCAGGGGTGGCACAGGATCAGCAGGGATTGGGTGTGACAAGGAGGGAGGGAAGACCCCTCTCACAGCTACATGAAGGCTGCAGCAGTCTAGGCACAGGAGCTGGAAAAGTCACCAAAAAGAAACCTACTTTCACCAGCAGCTCTGATTTAAGTCAAGCTTAATGTCTGGGGATGAGCCTCAAACTGAGCCTTACATCTTCCAACTTAAACCTTCCAGTTTCCAGGGGACGCTGAAGACAGCCAGCTGCATTCCATACGGGAGAGTCCAACACCTGCCACCACCTCACCCAGAGCAGGGAAATAAATAATCAATGCTGAAACCTCTGAGCTCAGTGCCCTGGGAAACGGTTTCCTTGCACTCAGGTTGTAGCCAGCAGGAAAATCAACACTGTAGCACTCATTGTCATCAGGCTGCTGCCGCCAGATCCCTCTGAAGTGACAGGTGACAGTGACAGGATGATGAGTTAGAGACACAGGGAACAGTGCCACCTTCTCTGCATCTCTACACTAATGGACTGATTTATCAATTATTGATTAACCTGGTGCTATCTCATTTCTCAGTTTCTGCACTCTCCAGTTCACACCTGCTGGATTTCCCTGATTCAGCCTATTCCACATCCAGGCTGCTGCCAAAAAATCCTGAATGAGGGCATTTGGAAGAGAAACTGGGAAATGCTCTGTGGAGCAATGCTGGGAACAAAGCCCCTCATCCTGCTTGCTGTTTAGGATGTATCTTGTGTGTGGGGACAGAAGGACAAGCACAAGCAGGGCAATGTCCCTCCCAGCACAGACCCACTGCAGGACTCCGTGCACACCACGTGGAAAACAGACACAAGCAGAAGGGTTTCCTTCCAGGCACTGCTCTGCTCTGAAGCAAAGCAGAAGCTGCACATTAAAGGTGCCATTTGCTGCCTCCTACCCAGCCAGGAAAGCCCATCCAAAGCACCCAGAAACCCTTTGGAACAGACTTCCAAATGCAAACTGCACAGGATGCCCAGTGTCCAGTGCTCACACTTAACATGGGAGACAGCCTTCAAGATGTCCCCAAGTCCTTTAAATGCCCCCATGAAATATCTGCATCATTAAAGCCCGAGGACTATGAAAGACAGAAAGGGGCACTCAGAGGAATTTGGCTGGTTTTGCACAGAAGTATTATCACAGAATCCCAGAATGGTTTGGGTGGAAGGGATCTTCAGGCCTGTGTCATTCCACCCCTGCCATGGCAGGGACACTTTCCACTGGCTCAGTCTGCTCAGGGAATACTCACTGGGATGCTGGACCACCATCCCTCAGGCTGGGGAATGGAATGGATGTTATTGGCAGCCTGGGGTAAGGTTTTAGTCCCAGAGGAAGTACAGCTCCCATGGGATGATTTAGCAGGGTGGAAAACAAAAGCGCTCAAAGCACAACCTCCCTGTCCTCCCACTCCAGGCGCTCTCACGTCACTGTTGGCATTTCTGCTGAACCTCAGCCTCTCTTCCCAATCCCATCCTGCACTCCCCCAGCCTGGCACACACCTCCCTTGCAAGCCCAGGCAGGAGTGAGTGAGTGAGTGAGTAGTGCTAGAGAAGCTCGGATCCAGCACAGCTCCTTTACTTCAGGAATTCACCACAAAGTCAGTACTCTGAGGAAAGGGGAGACTTTCCTGACCAATGGGAAGTCATTGAGTTATAGACAGGTTGTCCTGCCTGGAGAAAAGGAGGCTCAGGGGGCCCTTGTGGCTCTGCACAACTCCTGACAGGAGGGGACAGCCGGGGGGTCGGGCTGTGCTCCCAGGGAACAGGGACAGGAGGAGAGGGAACGGCCTCAGGCTGGGCCAGGGGAGGCTCAGGGTGGACATCAGCAGGAATTTCCCCATGGAAAGGGTGGTCAGCACTGAAGGGGCTGCCCAGAGGGGTTTGGAGTGCCCTGGAGGTGCCCAGGGAGTGCCTGGACGTGGCACTCAGCACTCTGGGCTGGGGACAAGGTGGGGATCAGGCACAGTTTGGACTGGGTGATCCTGGATGGCTCTTCCTACCCATGTTTCTGGGATTTATCAGCTGCTGTTTTAGGAAGGCAACAGGTACTGATTGATCACTTTTCACTTGTTTAGAGCAGTGGAATTGGTGGGGGTGAAGGTACTTTAAATATGGAAAATGGTCCAATTTCCAAAGACACTGCCATTGCTGAGCACCTCGGGGGGATCACACAGCACACCCAGCCCACGCCCTCCCGAGCACAGCTGGCTGTGTCCCACAGAGCCCCCACCCTGGCCAAAGCCCACGGGTGCCTTACCTCCAGCAGAAGACACACTTGTTGGCACAGGCCAGGCTGGGGGTGGCCTCCATGCAGCGATGGCTCTCAATGCCATAGAAGGTGTGCTTGTAGCAGCCCCCACGGCCCCGCAGCATCGACTGAAGGCAGGGAAACACAGGGAGTGTTAAAAACCCAGCTGGGGCCAAACTGAGGGCAGGGAAACACATAGGAGAGTTAAAACCCCAGCTGGGGCCAAACTGAGGGCAGGGAAACACATAGGAGAGTTAAAACCCCAGCTGGGGCCAAACTGAGGGCAGGGAAACACACAGGAGAGTTAAAAACCCAGCTGGGGCCAAACTGACGGCACACACTCACACACCCCCCACACACAAACACACAACAGGAAAGTTAAAATTCCCCATCTGGAACCAAACTGAGGGCAGTCATGGATATGCTCCCTTTCAGCCACCTGTGACTTTAGTTCCAAGTCCAGCAATGCCCTGAGCAGGGCTGAGGTGACACCAGTGCCACCCGCACCGAGAAACTCCCAGCCTCCTACAAAATGTGACTCTTTACATGTAACCTTTCAGCCAGACTGCATTTGGGAGGTCAAACTCATCCCAGTGTTAGAGGAGAAAGAGCTTTAAGCTCCTCAGTCCCTTCTCTGGCACACCCCAGTAGAACAATGTGCTCTCCAGCAGCTTTTCAGCCTCGGCCCATGAAGAGCAGGTGAAGCCTCTTGAGCTGCAGAAAGTGTTCCTGGAAAAGCTCACTCAGGAGCAACAAGGATCCATTTCAACGCTGTCCTACTGAACACTCCATTCTTTTCATTTATCTGGCAGAGTATTTCTTGCAGCACTAAATTAAATAAATGCCCTGACCTTATAAGCTCTCATTCACAGCCAGTAGTGGCTCCAGCAGGATGCTGCACTTCCCTTCCCAGCACAGCCACAGCAGCTTTCCCAACAGGATTCAACTCCTATTTATCATGCAGGCTGCTTGCAGGAAAGGCTATCTTTCATTAGCTCAGTTAAATAATAATAAATGAGAAAGAAACTTTACTACTCTCAAGAGAAAATCTGAAATATAACACAGCAGCTTTCAATCTGCCTTCCTCTTCCTGGAGAGTCCTGGTGATCCAACAGAAAGGAGCAGCAGGGAAAAATCTACAGCTACTCCCTAACTGGCTGTACAGGTGCACGATTTAATGACATGGAAAACGCTGTTGATTCTACCCATTCTTCAAATGCGAGAGACTTCAGGAGATTCACAAATTCAGGAGAGCAAGTTATATTTGGCCTTTCCTAAGGCAAACAGACTCTTCTGAAAACATACAGGGTTTCTGTTTTTTCTGGAATTTGACAGAACCCAATCTTTTCCATCTGAGATACCTCTATGAAACTCTACTCAATACTGATCCTGCCAGCCCTGCTCCTGCTTTCCTCTGATACAAATCTCCACAAAGGCTCCTGAAGGCTCTCACACACTGGTGTGAACCTGAAGCAAAGCCACTGCCTGGAACTAATCTCAGCTCATTTTATTAGAAGACTTTACATTCAATTCCTGCTTAAGCTAAAAATACTGTGGGCCCATCTAAGCACACAGAGCTGCTATTTATTTTATGAAATGGCTTTACAGTGCTGCATTAAAGCTTGGGTCTTTCATAAAAACAGGTTCTCTGGCTTTCTCAGTCACAACATGGAAGTTTGGCAAGTTTTTCTTTAAACATTTCATGATCATGTCTGCCACTTACAACGACAGAAAAGGAAAATGGGTGTAAGATGACCAGCAGAGCAGTAGTGGGATCAGTGCATCCCACAGACTCCTGACAGCCCAGGGTGGGCTCTCTGTGCTGCTCAGGAGAACAAGGCTCTTGATAAAACAGTTCATTGACACCAGGCACTGCAATGAAAACTCTCTGCAGCCACCCTGGGATGGCATCCTAAGGGCTGTTTCAAAAATAAACAAAGTTAATCATGCAGCAAAGGAGAGCTCAGACAGCCAGGACTGATCACTGCCACAACACAGGAATTACAGATGTGCTGGCATCTTAACGAGGTGTTGATTCCAGAGGTTCCCATCCAGGGATTCTCAAGGGTGCAGGATGTTGCAACATGGGGGGTGAAGGTTCTGGAGCCCCAGGAGCAGCTGAGGGAGCTGGGAAGGGGCTCAGCCTGGAGAAAAGGAGGCTCAGGGGGCCCTTGTGGCTCTGCACAACTCCTGACAGGAGGGGACAGCCGGGGGGTCGGGCTGTGCTCCAGGGAACAGGGACAGGAGGAGAGGGAACGGCCTCGGGCTGGGCCAGGGGAGGATCGGGGTGGATTTTGGGGAAAATTCCTTCCAGGAATTTGTTGTCCAGCCCTGGCACAGCTGCCCAGAGCAAGGATGGAGTCCCCGCCCCTGGAGGGGTTTAACAGCCCTTCAATGAGGCACTTGGGGACATGGGGCAGTGGTGGCCTTGGCAGTGCTGGGGGAATGGTTGGACTTGATGATCCCAGAGGGTTTTTCCATCCTTAAGAATTCTCTGATCAATATTGCTCCCCAAATGTACAACACTAGAGACTTGTGAGATCCAGAGGGACCTGCCAAGGACAGCTGAAACCACACCCACCCTGAAGGGGCTGCAGTTTATTCTCCAGGGCCCTGCTGGGAATGTTTTTAACTCTGAAAACTGCCTGAAAAGCTACTGAGTTCCAGCTCCTCCAGGAGCCACGTGCAGGGCTGGGAGGAGGTTGTGTCACACAGGTGCACTCGTACCCACAGGTACTGTACACAGCCACATCCACACTCACCCCACAGAGCAGGGAAATAATTAGCAATAGTGAAATCATTAACGCCTCCCTGTGGAAATCTGATCTGATAAATGCTGAGAACCAGGGGAGCCCTGACTGTCACAACCCAGCCCCAGCACAGGGGGTTCAAACAGCCTCATGTGCCTGCTCAGGTGTGGCAGTGGCTGTGCTATCCCTGTTCCACAACATCACAACAGGGATACAACCTTCCCACTCCTCCCTCACATGGATTTCAGTAGGCAGAAGATGTTTTAGCAGACAGCAGAACAACAGGAAAAACCAGAAAAGGATGTTCCCAGCTCTGTGCCACAACTCTATTCTCACTTTTTACAGAGGAATTTTAATAGTTGGAAATGCAAGGTTACAGCTTGAATGATGGAATTTGGGTTTGTGCAAATAATAGCACATTTTAAAATGATATTTCATCAGGAAATTGGAATACCTGAGCAAGTCTCTAGCTTTGTTTTTATTTAGGAAATGAGAAAAGGAAACAGAACATACCTTTGTCCATCGGCAGAGCTTCACCCCAGAATGGCTCCCAATGAGTTTATATCCTGAAAACAAAGCAGAAATCATCAAAAAGCTGAATTTAGCCTGCAAAAATTGACACACAAAATATACCAGGGGGTACCCAGAGTGACTGACACCGTGGACTCAATGCTGCTCTTCCTCTCTGGCCCCAAGGTGACACACCAGCCATGGCAGTGCCACCCCAGGGACCTCAGCCAACTGCAAATGGTTTCTTTTAGTGGGGCAGGGATTGATATTGCTGAGTCTGGTTTGAATCAGGGTGCCCAGGGGACTCCTGCATGGACAGGATGGCAGAGCCTGGCTAACCCAAGGAGCAGGACAGGGAACCAGGAGCATCTCCCTGGCCCCAGGCCATGATCCCAGAACAGCCTCCTACCCAGCACCCGGGATCCCTGTCCCAGCCTGCAGGACAGGAGCTGATTCCCAGTGCAGCTGGGAGGGCACAGGAGGGAAACACAACCAGGGCTCAGCCTGAACCCTACCTGAGCCTCACCAATTCCACGGAGAGGGAGCTGCTCCTCCACACCCAAAGGAAAGCTGAGCTCAGATCAGCTCCTCATTCCCCAGCCAAAGTCAACACAATTCTATTCCAATGGGTCCAGGAGGATTAATTGCACAACGTTCATTAAGCACTAAGTGCTATTATTACCCAAAATGCCTGAGTGGGGTTATATCCCTCTTTGAGAAAAGTGCTTAGAGGCCAATATGTCTGAAGGATTAAAAGTCCCTTCAAAATCAGCATAAAAATAAGAGAGATTTGAGACTCCTCACAGTGGTGTTCACACCTCACTGGCCTGGCTGTCCCCAAACTCAGCACCTCCCAGCTGCCTGCTGCACCTTCCTGCTGCACCTTCCTGCTGCTCTTATTAACACTTTCAAGGCAAGGAAAAATATCACATTTTAGCTATCAAGTCTTCTTCCTGCCAACCAGCACAAACTTAACAGGGAAAAAGCCTTCAGCTCAGCAAACTGGCCTTCAGCTCCTCCACAGCAGCAGCACAAGTGCCCTGCCCTGCTCATCTGTCCCTGAGCTGCTCTGGCACAGCAAGGTCCCAAAGCAAGGTGAGAGCAACTGCATCCTGAAGTCCCTCACACCTGCAAGGACACCGAGCCAGCCAGGAACTGCAGGAGCAGCAGATGCCACACCAGCTGCAGCAGGCAGAAATCAAACTGTGCACACAGACAGGGCTAACAGGGAACCAAACCATGCTCTGCTCCTGCCACTCAAACCCAGCAGGGACCTGCCCAGGCTCCTCTGCCCACTTCACCTGGTGGTGCTTGATCCATCTCCTCACACTGGAACATACAGGCAGAGTGAACTCTGCTGCAGAAGGCTGGAGAGGGACTGGGGACCAGAGATGGAGGGACAGGACACAGGGAATGGCTGCCACTGCCAGAGGGCAGGGCTGGATGGGATACTGGGAAGGAATTGTTCCCTGGCAGGGTGGGCAGGCCCTGGCACAGGGTGCCCAGAGCAGCTGGGGCTGCCCCTGGATCCCTGGCAGTGTGCAAGACCAGGTTGGACACTGGGGATTGGAACACCCTGGGACAGTGGAAGATGTCCCTGCCCTGTCCCCTTAAGGTCCCTTCCAGCCCAAACCATTCTGGGACTCTGTGACAGCCCTTCTAAGCCAGTCCACGAAGCCATGTGCAGTCCTGGGACACCTTTACCTCAGACTGGCTCACACTCAGATGATGCTGGTGCAGGTTCCAGAGGCACAGCCACACACACACACAGCTGCATGTGGCTGGAACCCAACACCTCCCTGCCCTGGCTCTGTCCTGCCTCTTTCTGTAGCTTTTCCCTGCAAACAGCTTGTCCAGCAAGGTCTAATCTCAGCTGAGACCTCCCTGCTAAAATGTGTGTCCTTACAGGATTTGTGGATGAGAGCTGAAAAGGTGCTGCATTCCTCCCCTTTCAAACACAGCTGTCCAAGACACACTCTGCTGCTGTCACCCAGCACAGTCCAAGCCTTATTTTTCCCATTTCTCCAAATCCAGCACCACCAGTCATATAAGATTATTCTCTCACAGATCACTTGTCAGTAACAGCAACATGGCTGCTTTCAAATGGGTTTTGCAGAAAAATTACATTGGAAATAGGACATGCCCACCCAGATCTGCTACTGAGCTGTTTGAGGGAAGAGAGGAAGCAGCTGAACTGAGCAAGGTGCCAAGCTCCAGAGCTCCAGCACTTTCTCTTAGGTTCCTTAAATCAACTTCCACCACGTGGAGTACCCACAGCTTCCTTTAAAGGCCAAGAAAATTGAACATGTTCAACATCAAAACAGTCTTACAAACGCCAGCCAGCTTTGGGGATGAGAGAGGGGTTACTCATCTCTGTCACTGCCAGAAGTCCCCGCTGTGGTGACAGGAGGGAGCAGCAGAGATGTGCAGAACCCTAAAGCCACAGAACTGGGTCCTGCACCCTGTGGGGAACTGGAAGAAGGTGTGGTCATCCAGCACTAGGTGCTAGCCATGCCAAGCTTCTGACACTTGGGCATGAGAGAAAATACCAGACACCAAGGCTGGACACTTGCTCCCCCCCTGCTGCCAGGGAGCAGAGACTCTACAAGACTGCAAAGCCTTTTTTCAGCACTGGCTGCACTGCTGGGAAGGAGGCAGCAGAGCAGTGTGGGCCAAAAGAAAGGACAAAAGGCTAAGCAAGAAACTGGGAGTTTCTCAGAATCACAGAACTGTTCTGGCTGGGAAACCCCCCTGAGATCATTGAGCCAAACCATTCCCCAGAACTGCCCTATGTCCCCAAGTGCCTCATGCACAGGGCTGTTAAACCCCCCCAGGGGTGGGGACTCCATCCTTGCCCTGGGCAGCTGTGCCAGGGCTGGACAACAAATTCCTGGAAGGAATTTCCCCAAAATCCACCCTGATCCTCCCCTGGCCCAGCCTGAGGCCGTTCCCTCTCCTCCTGTCCCTGTTCCCTGGGAGCACAGCCCGACCCCCCGGCTGTCCCCTCCTGTCAGGAGTTGTGCAGAGCCCCAAGGGCCCCCTGAGCCTCCTTTTCTCCAGGCTGAGCCCCTTCCCAGCTCCCTCAGCCTCTCCTGGGGCTCCAGCCCCTTCCCTGCTCTGATCCCTTCCCTGGACACACTCCAGCCCCTCAATGTCCTCTCTGCAGTGAGGGCCCAAATCTGACCCCAGGATTGGGGTGTGACCTGAGCAGTGCCAGCACATGGGGACACGACATCCTTACTGCAAAGCTTCAAATTAAACATGTGAAAAATAGTGATCAAAGCCAGCCTGAGGGTATCCAGCCCTGTTCCCACACTGCAGCTCCTGCTGAGCCTTCTGGAAGCTCAGGCCAGCTCCACTCTTCCCTCAGCTTTGCCACAACGTCCCTGTGGCTCTGCCAAGGCCAATGGTGTTGAATCCAATCCTCCTGATGGCCCTGAGTCTGGAGCTGTGGGTGCCAGGAGTCCCTGTGAACACATTTCCCCCTTGCTCTGAAGGGCTGTGACTCGTGACCAATAACTCTAAGTGCATATTTGGATACAACACCTTTCAAACAATCCAGTGTTTGATGGACCTGCTGTTCCCCACCCCTGTGTACGTTCAGACACTACAGCTGAACAAACCAATCTATTTATTATTTCCACAGTCTAATATGCAAAGGATCCCTTCAATTATGAGCAGGCTCACAGTAATCAGCTCAGCCCCCAACTAAAGGACAAGAACATCTCATCTGAAGGCTGGGTATGAGTTGATCCTGGTCTAGATGATAAATTTTAGATGATCTAGAAGCTTGCCAAACTTCACTGAAATTAAGTGTCACTTTTATAGACGTGAATTAAGCTTTTAAATAACCTTTGGGGTGAAATGAGCGTTATCAGGCAGTAACACCAGGCTGAGGAACATGTGGTGATTGCTCACCCTGACAGGCCAACTGGAGTTTAATAGAGCACAGAGGGATGTGGAACTGGAGAGATGGCCAAAGTCACAGCTCCTGACTGCTCCAGAGGCTGGGGCTGGACTGTGTTCAGCTCTTTGGAACCACACTGCAGCATTTCCACTCCATCCTGGAAATAAGAGTTTAAAAGTCCTTTCTCTGAAACTAAAAGAACTCATGGAGGAAGCCAGCTGAGCGCTCAGCACTGAGCCAGGACACTGCTGCCTGTATTCCTAGGGCACATTCCAGTATCCAGGTGCTTTGGATGTGGTTGCCAGTTTACAGTGGCAGACACACATCCAGTCTTTCCAAACTCCATGGACATGGATGGATTATGTCTTTAACTGAGCAATTCTGTTATTTTTGAGAGCAGAGCAGGTCAGCTGAATTTCTACTAGCACAAGTGTTGCTATCAGGAGCTGTGTCACGCCCCCTGCACTCTCTGAAGAGCTGTGCTGAGTGGCCTTCACGGACTGCAGACCATCCCTAGGTGGCAAAATGTCAAAAAAAAACCCACAGACACTCAATCCCTGAGGTTAGAAAAAACCTCCAAGGTCATCCAGTCCAAGCTGTGTCCCATCCCCACCTTGTCCCCAGCCCAGAGTGCTAAGTGCCATGCCTTCCTTGGGCACCTCCAGGGATGGGCACTCCAAACCTCCCTGGGCAGCCCTTTCCAGTGCCTGAGCACCCTTTCCATGGGGAAATTCCTCCTGATGTCCATCCTGAGCCTCCCCTGGCCCAACCTGAGGCTGTTCCCTCTCCTCCTGTCCCTGTGCCCTCGGGGTGTCCCCTCCTGTCAGGAGCTGTGCAGAGCCACAAGGGCCCCCCTGAGCCTCCTTTTCTCCAGGCTGAGCCCCTTCCCAGCTCCCTCAGCTGCTCCTGGGGCTCCAGACCCTTCCCAGCTCCATTCCCTGCCCTGGACACGCGCCATCTCCTCAGGGTCTGCATTGTCCTGAGGGGCCCAGGGCTGCCCCAAGCACTGGAGGTGCCACAGCAGTGCCAGCACAGGGAACAGACACTGCCTGCTTGACACCTCCCAGTTCAGATCTCTGCATCACCAGAAGTTTGCTTTGATCCAAAATCCCAAAGCAAAAGATTCAATACTGAAAGAAAGAAGGAGAT